GAGCGTCACACTCGACCCGGGTAAGGAATAATTCATCAGGATCAAATTCGGTAGAATGCAGGGAGTGGGCAGGGTTAACTGGTCCTCAACTTGGGGGGTGTGCGACTAGGTGTGGTTGACGCGACCAAAGCATACAGTTATAAATTGGAAAAAGGTCCAGCATACCTAGGCTAACCCGTAACTATAACTAAGCGTACCTCTTTCATAGTCCTTTGTCTTAGAATTCATATTATAAACTGTACATACATTTGCAAGTCTCTCGGAGCAGTGCTCCATAATATATATAAACTATAACAATACTATAGCTTATTCCCCTTCCGCGCTGCTCGCAGTCTCCCCGTATAGCCTAAGCACTAGTAGTCCATCTATAACGTATATGTTATCCGTGTAATACAGCTTATTCACTATGTCCAGAACTCCCGTCAGAACAGTGAACAGGCTACGGCTCGGGTCGAGTGCGGAAAGCCCGATCCGTTGACCTGCGGTCAAGTAGGTGGCGGAGTGTGATGGTATGGGCATTTGGTGCCCCAGCATCGAGCGGGGATGCATTCCTTGCGTCTCTTGGATACCTTTGGAACCTGCCTATTGTGATCGTGATTGAGGCGGCAAAGAGGGTTTCGACAGACGTTCTCCTCGAAGCACGGTTGGTTGTACATGGCTTTGAGGACATGGCGCACCTTTGCCGTGTGGGCTAGTTTGTCCCAGCCGTCCCTGGCCAGCTGCAACTCCGCTCTTTCTTGGGCAGTGAGTCGTGGTTTCTGGGCCTCTCTGATGCCAGAAGCATCTATCAGTTTTTCACAGATAAGAAGACAACGTTCAAATAGTGCCTGGCACTTCCTGATTTCATCAGGTGTGGCTAGGAAATCTTGGTCAGGCCCACAAGTGAGAACCACGTAATGAAGGAATCGAGACAAGACATCCGTATAATACGTATTCAGCGGAGCTGTGAAGGGAGTTAGCAACTTTGTGACTGAATCATGAATGGTTGGGTGCCAGTGGTCCTACGTACCATCTGGGTGAAGTATTAGTCTATTAGAGTTGATATCGCATGGAAGGAGAAGCCGGAGATCTTGCGGAACTGTATGGCGAGCATCCTTCGAATCTGCTTTTTCTCATCTTCCTGCGCAGTTTGTGACTCCAGCCCCGGGATCGACACAGGTTTCTGAGTCGCTAGCATAAGAGTGTAGAAATTCGGTCGATAGACTTCGGACTCGGAATGTAACTCGGCGATCGATTTCTCCACTTTCCTAAAGGTCGCTTCAACTTGAAGTTCATCCGGGTAGATCTGCTGCTTATGCTCATCGTGAGATAGGTTTAAGTTCAGAACCTCTCTTGTTATAAAGCGAATCCTAGCGTCGTTATCCCACTTCGATGTGTCCTCGCTGGGTACGGTACAAATCTGAAGCGGCCAATAAGTTCATCGTGCATGGATTGAAGCTAAGTGCCAATATGGCTTATGCCGTGGCGTATTTCCTCGGTGTTCGCCTGTAATCTCTGCATAGTGTAATCGAACAGTGTTATCGAACTTCTGGTTGAGTTCTTCAATCGTTCTTTTCAAGTTGGCCTGTGTACTCGTATTCTCCTCTTCGAGTTCTCGCGCGCGAAGTGACGCCGCTGCCGTAGACATGGGTGACTCGGACTCAAGGCCCTTTGAGTGATTTTGTTCGGTGTTGGCCATGGTTTCAATCCGATAATGGCAGGACTCTTATCGTTCAGGCTATTGATGTAGATGATATCAGTAACGTGGTCCTTCAAGTTGTCCGAAGACGATAAGACCTCCGAGTTATCCGAATAAGTAGTACTAACCTATTTGCTACGCATCTATTATGATGGCGATATGCGTGGGCGAACGTGACTGGATCACGTAAGAAGGAACGTTGCGACTCGAAACTGCGAGTCGGTACTTACCTAGGTCGGTGGGATCTTCTTAAGGTAAAGACTCGGGCCTGAAGAGGCGTTGAGCAGTTGATGAATTGCGGTACACTGGCACTGGCAGTCACGGTGTGAAGGACTCAGGCTATAAAGACCGACTAGGAGCCAGTGAAGTAGATATTTAATGTATACTGCCTGGGTGCAGACTCTAGCTCTTCAAGCTGGCGCTGTAGCTTAGTACGTGAGTAGCTCACTTAGTGCGTGAGCGAGGGCCGCGAGGCCATATGCCAACATACACAGGTCATACCCGTGACAATCTATCTCGTGCCTCCTATTCAACTTGTTCATTCAACGCCTCTTCAGTCTGTAAGAGTTGTTTGCATTGCAATTTATCCATTTCAACACCTTGAAGGTCCGTAATAGCATCGATTCCATCTCGGTATTCTTACTTGGTCACGGTATCCAGGGGTGCCTCATGCTTGATCTGATCCCAGAATTCGTCGACACCCCTGGCGGCGTTAGCACTAAGCGGCCCCTTCTCGATACCGGTAAGGGTCTGCTCAAGCTGTTCGACAGAACTGGCACCGACGACAATGGCGTCGCCGTACTCGGGCTTGAGAGGCGAATTGTACGTCACCCAGCGATAGCCTAGCTCGGCACGAGAGACACCCTCGTCCTCGGCAATCTTGGCCCACTTGTCCAGGGAGTCGAGGAGGGCCGGCCGCGCATACATTTGACGGTAGATACCGCCTAGGGCTTGCTCGTTGAACCGGCCTGCGCCGTCACGAACCTGCTGGGCAGTCTTAGTTAGAAAGCCACCCGCCAGCGGGCTGTAGGCGTAGAAGGCGATACCAAGTTTGCGCAGCGTCGGGAACAGCACCGTTTCCGCCTTGCGTGCGGCTGGGTTGTAGTTGCCTTGGTATACGGAGGGCAGAACCCAACCCTTGGCCTTTGCGATATCGTGTATCCTCTGTACGTCGTCAGGCGAAAAGTTCGAAATGCCGAACCGCTTGAACAAGCCCGTGTTGTACACCTCGTTCACACCCTCTAGCGTCTCCTCCAGCGGTACTCCTCCATCCGGCCCATGCAGGTAGAAGATGTCCACCTGTTTCACTCCTAGCTTCCGGATACTCTCCTTGGCTGTCTCAATGATCTTCTCCTTGGTTGCCCATCCAGGGCCCGTCAAGCCGCCCACCCATTTCGTGTCGATAACGAAGCGCTCGCCAACCTTGACCTCGCCCAGTCGTTTCTCGGAGTTGCCGTATAACTGCGCCGTATCGATGCTCTTCACACCGTGAGCTTCAAGGATAGAGAAGGCCTTGTTCAAATAGTCCTCGCCGACCCACGGCTCGAAGTTTCCTACCGAGACCGCGCCGAAGATAACCTGAATAGGTTGTTGCGACGACATAATGCTGGGCTGTCAGTAGCAGAGCGTGAATAGAGAGATGCTGGGAGCGGGCTTGTCAGTATAAAAGTGCGAAGTCGGTGAGCTGCAGTGCTGGAAAGAGATCCAAGCGCGGATAGAATGCGAACACTGAGATGAGCGAGTACAGTGATCCATGCAATGATCGGGTTCGTACGGTAAAGGGAAGCTACTTATACCATGGTTCAATGGGTGCCTGCAGTGGCGTTCCAAGGTTTCTTCATTGCAACTGTTTCGAATCGTCTTCTGCGGACGAAGTTGAGGACGAAGAAGGTGGTCGCAAGGCGCTGTCGAGGGATCAAGAACACGGACGAATTCGTCGGATTTGGGCCCGGGCCGCCGTGGATCCAACTCTCCGGACGATCTCGCTCGTTGTCTCCGCTTCGGTCCGGTACGACATCTGGCTTCGAAGCATTTCCATTCTTCCCTCGTAAGCATCCCAGCCGATGGCACACACGTATGTACCTTCTGCCCAACTGCAGTCACACTGATCAGCCTCAACTCGCATGGTGCATTTGTCATCAGAACTGCGGACAACAGACTGAGCACCGGGGCATTTTCAATTGCCAGGGTCCCGGTTCTGACTGCTGTCTTGGCTGAAAATCAGGAGACGTGAGTGACCCCCCGGATCTGAAACAACAGTCGTCGACACGATGAAGGCGCCAGTCGCTAGGAGATGCCTCTTGAAGACTGCGATGGCTTGATAGCATACTGATAACTCATGGTAACGGTGGGAAGGGCTACTCGGCTGCGTCACGGCGGATCGCAGCCTCGCTGACAACACACAACATGGTCACACGATTGGTCTATAAGGTAGGTAGGCATGAATCGGCTCATATGAAAAGGCAAGCTGTAACCTCGATATTGAATTCGTAGCACCCTGGCGCCCTTTGTGACTTCTCAAGCGCTTCTTTCTGCTATATGCTAAAATATGCTTTTGCCTTGTTCACCGTTCGAACGTGGTCATGCGTCCTGACCCACACATGCTTGTGCTTTCAATCCTCCGCACGATTCCTGCATGTCCATCCCAAATCCCCTCTCTCGCTTTTTGTACGTCTATGCCGCGCGCATGCATAACAGCAACCCAATCCTGGAAAAGCATTGAGCCTGACTCAAAGAAGTAGGGGTCGCATTTTTGGAACTCGAGGAACTGCTCCACGTCCTCCTTGTAGATAGCATTGTCGAACAGCCATAAGATCTCTTTGGGAGAGCATTTCAGGAATGACTGGACGAGATAATAGTTGTGCAATTCGCTGCCCCAGCCTTGCATATACCGAAACCGCATTTCTTGTGTGGTCGCTTGGTGTGGATTCATTTCGTGTATGTTGTCCGTGCTGTGGAAAGCGTCTCGAATTGCGGTACAACTTGAGGAAATCCTGCTGCGGGCGACGTATTGCGCTGATGTTCGAGGCAATCTCACGTCTTCAGGGTGTCGCGAGTACACGTCACCATCAGTGGGACAGATTTCCGAAGAAATTAGGTGTTCAAGTACACATCGCAAGTCTTCCAGGTCGTAGAGTTCTTCGGTGCTCCAAGATCGCAGAAGGTGGAGTCGTTCTGTCGCCGGCAACTGGTCTGGTCGTATAACAAGGGGTGAAGGGGGGCTGTGGAATGCCTGAGTGTAACTCCAAAATCGGTAAACTGCACGCCGCAGCCGACGCGCTTCGCTGTCAGTCAGCAGGCGGCGTTGAGCGCTCTCCGCGTCGACCCATCTGAAGCTTGGGTAGAGTTTCACGATACGGTCGGCAACTCGGGCAGCAGCATTGACTTGGGATAGTAATGCCTGCGAAAGTGGTGGTGACCGTTGTATATGGAGCAGTTGGGCGTTGTTTTGAGTCAAAAGTTGTATGATTTCCCCTATCGGTCCCATCTCTTTATCCGTGGCATTGAAAAACAACCCCAACTTTTGCGACTTGGTGAGGACTCCATTGAAATAATGACAAGATAGTGACAAATTCAGGATGTCTGAGACAGATGTAAGGGATTCAAATATCCGGACGATCAGTTCCGCGGCGAGTCTTTGTATCGCCATTGCGCCTATACTGCTCATCAGCGAACACATCAAGGTTGACGGAATGATATCGTCAAACCAAAATCGGTTGCACGGCTCACGGCCAGTACTAGTGAAGGCTCAATTGCGACTGTGTCGGCCCCAGAGACCTGATAGTTTAGACTGCTGTGACCCCGACATTGGGGCTATCCTGAAGTGACGATTGAAGAGGATTTTCGACTGATCTCTTGAGAACGTGTCGTTGGCTGCTAACCTGCTCTCTTCGAGAGACCAGGACGTTGAAAACCAACATCTTCAACATGTGGGCCTATATTCCACCCTTTCACCAGCTGGCATACAGATGAAGCGAATGCATTGTCGATGGCCACGCTCAAGGAGGCGTGAACGAGGGTTTGCGAGGAGTGCCACTACTACTAAAATAATAGTACTCCGGCCACCTGCCAGTCACGTTAGCCACAGCCTGTCCTACATTGGCCGCATCATGATGTCTTCAGCCTTGCAGGACATGACCGACTTGAGTGGTTAAGTCAGCCCCTACTGTGGATATATACAATTGTACTAGTAGTAGGTAGTACTGTATACTACCTCTCTGGAGGTACCTATGTAGGTAGGTAGGAACCCATGTTGGTGACCTGTATACTACCTCTCTGGAGGTACCTATGTAGGTAG